TTCAAATACACACTCAAATTTTTGCTTCAGGCTACTTTTGATTCTGTACAGATATTGCGGCATGAGCTGTCCTGAAAAGAAATGAGAGGAAAATGCATTAATTCTTACTGTGATTCTGATCAGTATGAGAGGAAGAATATTTTCCAAAAACACACTTTTTTACACATACAAGTCCAGATATTTCACTGTGACAAATGTGAAATGTAGTCTTACCATACAAATTTTACTGCAACACCACATACAGTATTGTGCATAAGTCTTAGGCAGACAAAGAAAAAGTTTAAAGTAATGCTGCCAACATTAACGCATTAATGCATGTGATTAATCAGGAAACCTTAATGCTCTATTTTGTTTTTAATGTAAATTAATCATGTACGCTGATCCAGGGCCATAGGTTTCGTATTGTGGTTCTCGGCAGACCGTACAGCGACAGCGAAAGACGAGGAGGCTCTTCTGAAGGGGGGAACAATGTCCTGTTATTAAGTCCTTAAAAAGACTAACACTGGTACTCAACAAGCACCAAAGCACCATAAGAGGGAAACACAAGGAGGTCAGATGCTGGACAGTTAGGCACACAAACTGTGGGTAATTTATATAATGACTAAAGACAGGCGAGGATCGGGCAGGGTTCACGCAAGACACAGGCAAGGGCACACAGGACAATGGGGAACAGCACAGGGATTTACAATAACAAACACAACAGGGCTGTGAACATGGCTGGCGAGCATGCTGGGATATGCTAATAGGCCCCCGCTATACGGANGTTTCTTATCTCTTGGTTACCTTGTTAGGCTTCCTTATCCATGAAAAAATTGCTTTTAATATTTTTGGTGTGGCTTTCTGGACCTTTCTTTTGACAGCTTACCTCTCGTTTTTAGTTTAAAAAAAATTATAAAATAAACCTCAAGACAATTATATAAATAAACTGAATTGGTCTTATCTTGCCTTACATGTATCTGCATGCCTTGCCTTGATTTTGTTTTAATTTATTTTGTTTAAATAGAGATTCCTGACAAAGTCAAAAAGCCTTGATGCAGTACACAAATTTATGTGGTGTTTTTATGCATTGTAAACTTACAAACGGGTCGGTGCCGACCGTAACACAATAGCAAGGTTATGGAGAGTAGGGGGCCTCTTGGTGAAAATGGTCAGAAAAAAACATACATTACAGTATGTGATGAGTTAAATTTGTCTTATGTGTTTTATTTTTTGTAAACCAAGAATTCCAATTATAATTCATAAATCACCAAAACCAAGATGTTATATTGAAAAAATGCGTGATTCCTCTGACCAGTTTCTCCTGCATTTCTTTGTTCTAAAACCACACATGTATTTGTTTCATATTCCAGAAAATACTAGCAAATAGCCAACCGCCATTTTAAACATGTGATTAATCATAATTATTATTCACCTATTATTGTGATTAACTGGATATTTCTTCTTGGATTGACACCATGAGTTTAAAGCCATTTATCTGGGAAGTAAGTTGCTCTGGAAAAAAAAACCTAAAGCATCACTTCAGCTCCCAAACCTCCTCAGGGGCACCACAGCCAGTCCATGTGTTTGTTACATTTCACCACCAGCTCACTTCATTCACTAATTAAATTAGTAAAAATGTCAATGAG